AATTTCAATACCAGGATATTATGTTGTTATTCTGTGAGAGCTTTGGGGTATATGGGCACAAAACAGTGCTAAATATTTTAGCAATTAGTAATTTTTCTTCCCAAACATGAAGAAAGTTTCAGATGGTTAACAGCAGAATGGATTTTCCTCTCAGAGCTGCAATACCAGGATTTTAACAACTGTGGAAAATATGTTTTCCGCACTAAAATTAGGGGATTTGCTTGTGTGTGAAGGACTGACCCAGAGTGCTCTGAATTGCATACTTCAGCATTAAGAGTACGTTGTATACTCTAAGAGAAACGCAACTTTAAATAAGAGGAGGGGGAAGCATTGGGAAAAAAAGTGAAAGGTGAGTAAAAAAAGTGAATTGCACAAATTAACGTCATTAATGTTGTAGTGGCAGGCTGGCTGCACTTGGGAAGGCCGGAACTGATCCCAGCCAGAGGAAAACGAGGTCTCTGACTGAGCCCTGCAGCATATTTTTATAAACTTCAGCACAAAAAGAAACTAAAACATCTGGTACCAGGATATTATGCAATGTTGTTTTATGCTATTTTCATTGTCTTAAGATTCTTCATGAGGACTGTTAACGAGTTGCTTATTGTTGTCGGATCGCTGTCCTGAGGTGCCTCTGTGCAAGTGAAGGGGCACAGACTTCTCTGAATTTCTCCCTCTGGTGCTTGGTGCCCACTTCTGTGCCAGCTAGTTTCCCCTGAAAGCTTTCTTGGCAAAAAGTGCATGAAGCTGCTCCTTGAGCTCCTGTAGGTCAAACCTCTGCAGGGATGTACAAAATGGTGTAATCATCCTGGTGCTCTGGGCGGGCTGAGCAGAAAATGGGTAGAAGTGATTAAAAAAGAAAAATTGGCACTGATTGGGAGACACATCGGCATATCAATTTTATAGCAGATACGAGCATGGATGGTAGGAGAGCCTGGGTCAGACATGTTACTTCAGGCCTGTGATACGCAGAAATGGAGGCCTTCGCTGTTCTTTGCCTCTCCTTCCTGCCTGGCTGGGTTTGCTGCTGCTCTTCCCTGTCACCTGCTGCGCCAGAGCAGGAGCAGGAAGGTCACGCTCCCTTGTGTGCTCCCTGTGCGCAGGTGTGATCTGATGGATGGTACCCCCCCACCCTCGCTTCTCAGCTGCCTTCAGCCCAAGAAAGCATGACCTGCTCAGTGCTCACCTTTCTTCCCACTCTTGCTAAACTGTGTGGCCCTGGAGCCGCCTTCTCTCTGAAGCTGACACCTTCCTTTTCTCTGTCACCTGCTCATGGCCAAGGGATGCAGTTTTGCCTCTCCCTTTTGTTCTCTGGCTGGTTGCTTGATAACTTTAATAAAGGTGCAATGCTAACAGGCCTGGGGTGGCTCTTCACTTCCACTGCCTGCTTTCATCTCCTCATTCTCCACCTCTTCCTTGCACTCATAATTGCTGCTTCTTACCCGACTGCTTGTCTGTTCTGTCAGTCTGAAAGCTGCCCAGTCCAGGTATGTTCTCTGGCGGAGAAGCTGCTCATTCTTTTGGATTCATTTCTGTTGCTAATGGCTAACTCTGTGTGCCGAAGCCTGGTCCCGGGTTCATGCCTTGGGCAGCGTAGGAGAAGGGGACCAGCTGCCTGGCAAAGGAAAGGTTCAGGCTGGTGCATCTGAGCTCTCCCACACCTGAGGCTGACACGCAGCCCTGCTCCCATCCTCAGAGTCAGTGTCTGGCTCCCTGCAAAGCCCCTGCCTTATGGAAGGAAGAGAGCAGAGAGGACCCCTGAAACCCTCTCCCCTCTTACCCAGCCCCTAATAAACTCCCACACCCAAAGTTCAAGTCGAAGCTTGGAGTCAACAAGAGGTGCCCTTGAGGGTCTGCACTGCTCCTCACTCTCTCTCTCTCTCTCCCCCCCTTGCATATACCCATCATTGTAAAACATCTTCCTCCTACCATTACAGCTTAATGACTTTCCCTTCAGCTTCACAAGAGGTATTAATGTCTCCATTAACAGCCACCAGAAATGGAAGCTCCATATATCATGAGTGCTGCTCCACGTCCTTCTCCTCATACAGAAGTTTTAGAAGCAGTTAAAATGTAGCCCTGTAGAAAATTAATGGCTCAATATACAAAATCTGTAATTGCTGCTAGAGGCGAGGAGGAGGAGGTGGAAGTGCTCAGTCTTGGTGTAATTAAGTACCTTGTTCAGTGGCCACTTCTCCCCCATGCCAATGGCATGTAGGTCTTGTGCTTCACACATGAGGGGTGGTGGGAGGCAAATGGTCCCTACTTAGTGTCATTTGCCCAACGGAGTTAAGCATCAGGAGAGGTGTCAGTGCGTGGCTCCTCTATCCATGGCACAGCCTTGAATGCAGCAGTTGCATGAAAGGGTAGCAGGGGGGGAGTGGGAGCTGCCCTAAGACTTCCCACAAAGATGCCTTTCACAATATCCTTGCCCCACCATTCCAATTTAAGCAATGGGAAAGCCAGGCAGTGGGGCAGATGAGCCCAGTCTGCTCTATCCATCCATTTCTAGTGGGGTGGTTCTAGCCTGTGTCGCATTGTGGGGGACATCCATGGTGACTAGCAGTGCCATGGAGCTTGGTCCTTCTGGAGACAGCCCCATAAATCGGGGAGGCTGGTCCTGGGCAAGGCAAAGGGGGTACTAGGACAGTTGGAGTCTGCTCTGCTTTTCCTCAGCCCTGTTTCACAGTGGGGAGGTTGCATTTACTCTTGTAATGGCCTGGGGAAAGATGCAGCTGCATGGCTGCTGGTCTGGTCTGCCTCTACAACCCCGACCAGTTGGCTTTAAACTGAATTAGTTGCCCATAGGCATCGGTGTTTTGACAGTGCTTCTATGGGTTTATAATGGCCTAATGCTGATTTAGTCTAATTTGTTGTCAGGGTTTCTGGGGCTTGTGGTCTAAATTCAGTTAAACCAGACCACTGTGCACAGAGCAGGCCGGGAGGTAGCCTGGGCATTGAAGTTAACCTGGGAGCACTAAGAGCTCCTTGTAAAGGCCTGTAAAGGAGAGGAGGGAAAAACCTCAGGCCCTGCAACCAGTGTCACCAACAGGCACTGCTCCACCTGTCGCAGGTGCCCTGTGGCTGGCAGGAGGGGTGCACAGTGGCTGGACACTCCCCCTCCACCTGCCAAGGATGCTGTGGGGGATGATGCTCACATGAGGACAGCAGCGAACGGGGCAGTTGGTGCAGCAGATGTAACCACCAGTGTGAGCAGCACATACTTTTTAAAACAAAAATCAAAATAAATTTCTGGGAATTTTTTTTTAAGCTTGCTTCTGTCAACTGCGAAATGACAATGACAGCAGCTAATGCTGTGACCTTCTTTTTAAATAATCTGGTGTAGCCCTGGGAAAAACTAGATTTTCAGAAGGTCTTTGACACTCTGGAACAGGCCCAGATGAAGAAAGTGGGACAGTGACAACTGGCATGGCTGTCCCAAAGTGTTAAGGGAGAAGCCACTTATCCCATTATTGCCACACGTTGTTCACGTCTCGTTTGGGTCTAGTTTGCACGCTCATGTAGCTCAGCTTTGCTGCCTTCCAACAACACAAGGGATGTTGAAATCCTGAGTCTCTGCACTGCACTAACCCGAAGATGACACATTTCATCAGCATGGTTTCTTGGAAGGAGCAAAACAAAGTAGCAGAGTATTTTCAATTAAGAAAAAAAATATTTAAAAAATAGTCAGATGACTAAACATTAATGAATCCATCAACACTTTACGTGCTTCTGAACATTGTTGGTTCTGCCAGCTTTGGGAAAAATAAAAGGCTTTAAAACCACTTAAAAAGCAAGTTTGATGGAATTTGATGTTACACTTATGTGAAAGTCCTCCATTTTCATATGAAGCCATAGGGCAGTGATCCTTCAGCCCAAGAAAACAGAGAGCATGTCTCTCCTAATCACCTAATGCAGATGCATTTTCTGCATAGTGAATTGGTGTCTGCTGGCATCAAAAGTTTCAATAGATTTTGGCGTGACACTGGTGCCTAAGGTGTTATTAGACTTCTAACCCTGAAGCTGCTTTTTTTGGCAACTTTTTATTGCACAAACAACTGCAACAACTTTCCCAAAACTGGCCAAGAGGAGCCTTGGAAGTAGCTTGGCTACAGCTAGGTAAAGGAAAGCATAGTTAGCGTGTGACAGCATCCAGCTGATGGGTCTACAATGGCTTTTTTTTATTTAGACAGTATTGGTGCGGTACTAGGGACATGTCATTTGAAATAATAATGATAAAGAAGTTTTCTGTGGAACAGGTATAACCACAAAAAAGGCAGTGCTCACCAAAAATTGTTCTCCTGCTCTCACGTTTGTCCTTCTGTTGGGACAGGTTTTTACAAATGAGCCATGTGAACTTAAAAGCTGACAAGACAACAATGCATCTCCAGCTCATTTCCATACACAAGTGCAAAACCATAACCTACCAAAACTTTTATTTTCATTGTACATTCACATTTCTCCATTGACGTGGGTGGCTTGTACACTGCCGAGTGATAAAAGTTACAGTTCTGCTCTTTCACGTGCATTGATTTCAGCCATCAAAGAAACCTAGAAAACTAACAATAAACAACTTTTCCATATATCTGTAGCCAGGCTGGGAAAAATTATGTGACTTTTCCTTCCCTTCCCACCCTCCAGCAACCAAATTCCCCTGACTTTTAGGTATTTCTCTTTTAAATGACTGTTAATATCACTTAATATTTTAAGATGGTTTCCTAGGGGTTTCCCGCAATGAAGGTGGCATTAGGTGCACACTGGGCTTTACCACTCACTTGCTCTTGCTCCTCTGGAAGCTCGTTTGGGCGCATCATTAGCGGCTGTTGTGACGTGCTCGCCGACAGTGCTGTGGGACAATATAATTTTTCTTAGCCTGCTATTTTTTCTTAACATTTTAGGCTCATCACAAGTCAGTTGTGGCGCTTTACAGTTTACAGACTTTTTGCAAAACCTTCTCTGTACACTGAAAGTGATTCAGAAATGACAAAAAATGCCACAACCAATTAGCACGTACAAACATTTATTTTGAAATTTCCATTCCAACCGTTATGAAGAATTACATCATCAAAGCACTTTATGGCAGTGAAAATAGCTCTTACCACTCTGACTCATCCATTACTCCATTAAAGCTGCAAAATGTGCAATCTGCTTGAAAAATAGGTTGCTTTTTATTCAGTTTCCCATGAAAAGTCAAAATTTGATAACAAAAAAAAGGAAAGGAAAAAGAAAAACCAACCCAGCTTATAGGGACTCTACATCCAATCCTCTCCCCCTTCCCCCAAAAATAACTTACAAAGATAGTTTAAAGTTTTAAATGAGTTTAAAACCAAGTGCATCTTTTTTATTAGTTTTTTTTCTTCTTCTCATAATAATCTTAAAATTCTAAAAACCCATAATTTACTTTCTTGGAAAAAAGGCAGCGAGCCGTTGCTTCTTGATTGGAAGAATATGTATCTCCGGCGAGTTCATTTTCTTTAGCTTTACGCTCCTGTTTTTGACGGGTTTCCTGAGGGCCTCAGCGCTGTCCCGGGGCTCGGGCGGGCTCTTCACGTCATAGCACTGCAGCACCGAGTCCTGGGGCAGGTCCCTTTTGAAGGAAAAGTTTTTGGTGGAGACCCCGGACAGGCCCTTGATCTTGCCGCAGAAGATGGTGGGCACGGCGTCCTTGACGGAGACGATGACTTTGGCTGTCTGCGAGGTGCTGACGATCTCGATGTTGTTGCCGGCCTTGGGCTCGCAGCCCGCCCTGCCCGCCTGCTCCACCAGCCACTTCTGCGGCTGTCGCAGCAGCTCAGCCGGCCCGCTGCTTGCCCCCCTGCCCTCCACCTTGCCCGACGCCTCCTGGGGCTTGCAGGGGGCGAAGGGGGCGGCTGGGCCGGGGAGCTTGTCCTGCGCAGGGTGAGCACCCGCCTCAGCAGCGGTGGCAGGGCTGGTGCTGGCTGCCTCCCCGTGGGGTCCCCCCGGCTTACGGCAAGAGGCGAGGGACAGGTCCAGGGCCCCGTCCTCGGGCGGCGGTGGTGGGGCAGCCTCGCTGGCCCGGGGCACAGGTGGCCCTTTCATGGAGAGGTCCAGCGCCTCGTTCTCGCCGCCCATCTTGATGACGGTGTGGCGGCTCAGCTGGGGAAACTCCCGTGGGTGGAGGAGGTCAAAAGGCTTTGTCTCCTCCTTCTCCAGGGGGGTCTGGGTACCTTTGCAGGAGTTGGGGGTGAAAAGCGGTGGCTTGGGCAGGTCGGGGGCTGCCTTGGCCTCGGCGCTGTGGGGCACGGGGATGGGGACCTGTC